AGTGTCCCTAACCCCCCAGAACAGCTTCCAGACCACCCCCACAGCCATCAATGAGGGGAGAAATTATTGTTGAGAAGGCGTTCCTCATCACCACAAGGAACAGCTGTGATTAGCTGCCACCAGCAAAGAGATGGACACAGAGGCTTAGGAGTAGCAGTGCCCTCTAAACCATTCCTGCTTACAGCTCAGCTGTCATCTGGGAAAGTATCTCCTACGGAGAAGGGGCTAGCCAAACCCAGCAAATGCCAACCAACTGCCACCTACAGGGCAGGCAAGCCTCTCTAGCTGAAGCAACAAGGCACTGGGAGGGAGGCAGCACGTGCCTGGCAGGACATTCCACCCCCATCATCTCAACCATCGTCTCTCTCTAGACTCTAGGATAGAGACAGCCCAGGACCTTGAACCCAAGGCTTGAGAACAGCGATGCTCCCAGCCCTGTCAGTCCTGTAACCATTGTCTGGGGAAGCAATCTTTGTGGAGACCCAGTTAACTGCTACTGAAGACCCAGAAAAGAAAGTTCTTGTTACCGAAGTCCTTAGGATTATTAAATGCATCAACATCTGAAACTGGTTTGATTTTTTCACCGAAATGAAATCAAAGCAAGTATTACCATCTGTTTTGGTGCTGCACCTTAAGGACAAGGAGGCTTTCCATCTGATTTGTAATAGAAAACCTTCCTCAGGGTTTGCTTCTCCCATTAGAATAAGAGCTCTTTGATTTTCTAATTGTAGCCACAGTCAAGTACCTAATGCTTTGTTTTATTCATCTCTTCATACTGGGAAAATAGGTATCAATCTATTTTTCTCCTGGTTTCACTCATCATCTTCATAGCTTTCAGTAACAACAAATCCCTTTCTGGTTATTGATTCTACTATATAAGTTGTCTCTCTCTGTTAGAAGGTTAGTTCCTCTGGGGAGGCACTGTCTTGGTCTTTGTATTTGTGTCTCTCGTGCTCATCCCACATAGTTAAATGCTTTTTCATTCATTCATTCATTCATTCATTCATTCATTCATTCATTCATTCATTCATTCATTGGCTTCTGTGAGTGCTCTTTCCATCATAATGTAGGTAAAAGCTGAATATGACTTGAACTATAGACTGCCTGCCTATGAAAGGCAGAGTGTCTTTCCGGTTAGAGCACTGGATTTTTGGAGCCAGGGTGACCTATAAATTGTTCCCTGACACCTACTGATTGTGTGATCCAGGGTAAATTATTTACTTTTCCTCAGAGTCAGTTTCTTCTTCTGTAAAATGGGGATAATAATGAGCCACATTTCACAAGGTTATTGTGTAAGTGCTTCAAGCTCTTTAGACACACGAGCCAAATGTCAGCGATGACAGAAGTCTTGGAATCCTCTCGTACAACTTTCTCATTTCATGGATGGGGAAACTGAGGCTCAGAAATAGGAAATGTCTTGCTCAAAGTGAGGCAGCTAGGTAGTAACAGTGCAGGGACTAGACTACAGTTTAAAAGATTAGCCCTCTTAGTCTACAGATGAAGAAACTGAGGACAAGAGAGGTTAAGTGATTTGCCCCAGGTCACACTGCTAGTAAGTACTAGAGGTCGGATTTGAACCCAGATCCTTTGACTCTATAGCTGGTGATACCCTTTGTCTCCTAGTCCGATGGATTTTCTACCGAACTCCTCTGATTTCCTGATAGCGCCTCTCCATGCAGCATTGCAAATTAATAATCGGAGCTGCTCTGTCAAGGCACCACGACACAAGTGATATAGGAACACAATTAAAACAAGACAGGCTTTTCATGAGAAACAGGATTAAAATGGGCCGCACTGAATTTCTCAGGAGGTCCCAGTCATTGGCTTCTTAGAAGATGTATCACCTAACAATTTAATGACAAAGAAATTATGAAGTGAATCTTTCCACATTTGGATTGGCAGCCAACTAAAACAAACCCAAACCAAATGAAATGATTTAGAGATTAGCAGGCAGCTAGGTGGCGTCATAGTGCATGGAGTGCTGGGCCTGGAATCAGGAAGACTCCTCTTCATGAGTTCAAATCTGGCCTCAGACACTTCCTGCCTGGGTGGCCCTGGGCAAGTCACTTAACCCTGTCTGCCTCTGTTTCTTGATCTGTAAAATAAGCTGGAGAAGGAAATGACAAACCACCTCAATATCTTTGCCAAGAAATCCCCAAACGGGGTCATAAAGAGTTGGACATGATTGAAAACAACTGAACAACAAAACCTCAATCTAAGGCAAAACTAGGAGCAGTGGGAAGAATCTGTAGAGAGGCAAAGTAAGGCTCCATACAAGAAAAAAAAAAGTTTACAAGAATGAAAGCTTCTGCAGAAGCTCAAAGGGATACCCTGGGAGGTGGTGGGTCTTCCCTCACAGAAGGTTTGCAAGCAAGCGAAGGCTTACCCCAAGCAGCCTAAATTGAAGGAATGATTTTCTGCATTTGTAGCCCCTTAGCAGTGGAGAAACAAATGAGCTTAATACCTAGCTACAAAGGATAATTACATAAAAGAGGAAGCTACCAGATGGTACAAGAGTGACTTTAGCCTAGATGAACTCTTTGCATGTTGACCCCTTCCCTATCGTCTGAGGGAAACTTTTGGATTACTTGCCCCAGGTAGAATGGAATTCGATTTCCTGGTACTGTTGTTGGCTGGGATATTAAAGCTCCATCCTCCACATATTCTACCATATTGTTACCCAGCAGCACCGGCCGTCTTGTTTTTTCTTCCACACATGACACTCTAGTTCTAGACTGCCTTCCATTTCATTGACAATACCTCATTCTTGTGGGGGCAGCGAGGTGGCACAGTTGATAGAGCACTGGACATAGGGTCAGGAAGACTGATCTTCCTGAGTTCAGGTCTGGCCTCAGAAACTTTGCAGCTGTATGATCCTGGGCAAGTCCCTTAAACCTGTTTGCCTCAGTTTCCTCATCTGTGAAATGAGCTGGAGAAAGAAATGGCAACCCACTCTAGTATGTTTGCCAAGAAAACCCTAAGAGGGGTATCGAAGAATCAGACATGACTGACAAACGACTGAAGGCTTTACTCTTAAAAAGACTCTCTCTCCTCATCTCTGCCTCCCACTTCCATGAGTCCCAGCTAAAATCCTACTTTCGGCAGGAAGACTGATCTCTTTTAATGCCACTGCCTTCCCCTGTTGATTATCTCCAGTTTATCCTGTACATTCCTTCCTGATGTCATGGTCCTCTTCAAGAATGAAGGACACACAACAATCCTGTATATTGCTTGTCTGTACATAGCTATTTGTCTGTCTCCCTTATTAGACTGTGAACTCCTTGAGAGCAGGGGCTATCTTTTACACTTCTTTGTATCTCCTATACTTAGTACAATGCCTGAAAAACGGCTGGTGCTTAATAAATGCTTATTGATTGACTGATGGTAAACAAATAATCACATTACTTAGCATTTCCATGTCCCTTTCTGGTTTGCAGAATGCTTTATATACTTTATATACTCTTATCCTTCAACAACCCAACTGGCAGCCTGAGCTTGGTTGAGCAACTCATTTTCCTTATCTTTAAAATAAAGAATTTGTGGATAAAAAGATAGATAAAGCATGCATTAAGTGCTTACCAGGCGTCAGGCAAGAGGCAAGGTATGCAACATGGTGACTGTTGTACAAGATGCTCTCCAAGACTGTTTCCAGCATTGACATTTTTTTTCACATTTTATAGTGCCACACATTTACAAACCATTTGACAGAAGTTTTATTTGAACTTTCCAAGAGCCATCATAGGGTATCATCTCCATTTTACAGTTAAGGAAACTGAGGCTGAGAGAAGTTACATGACCTGTCCACAGTTCCTCAAGTAGTAAACATCCAAGACAGGATTTAAGCTCAGGCTTTCCTGTCTCCAAGTCTAGCACTACATACATAATACCACCTAGATCCAGGAGTATTTTGGAGAAAGCGCTGAGTGAAAAGAGCCAATTGTTAAATCCTCAGAGTAAGCATTTACACCTTGGAAATTGGTGAACACTATAAATCAGGACTTTATGTATTGTTCTATTGATTGTCTAGACTAAGGAAAGTGATGGCAAACATGCTACAGATCCAGATTTAACTTGAAAGTGTGTTGTGCATTTTTTTTCCCCAGAGACCTAGTTGTTAAACAACCTTTTTCATTATACCCCTTCCTATATCCTACATTACTCCATATGATTTTAAAAGCGGGTGGGGGTGGCTGGTAACAGATAGGTAGAAGGAAGGACTTGTGTGTGCTGACTGAATTGCCTATTTTGAGAGAGATAATAATTTGGAAATCACAACCTGCATCATCCCTTGTTGAGTAGCAATTGCAACAAAAACGTAATGGAGAAGAATCGTCATAGTAAATAATAATTTATTGTTTGAAAAAGACTCCTGTTCATCCCGCTCTAGCATGACATTATGCGAGGCGTCACAGACACACTTTAGAATTGTGGTGTTCAAATGCCATGCCTGATCATGCATTCTCTCAAGTTTACCCCCAAAGTGCATGCATAGACCAAGAGGATCATAGAATCAATCAGGTACAATCTGAAAGAGGTTTTCCACAAACTTCCATTTGGAAAGAAGGCCCAGGAGCTTTGGACAGCTTGACAAGGCAGCCCACATGCATAGGTATGGATCAATTGTTTGCAAAAAACTTTGATGTAGGATATGAAAAATATATTTCAACTGCATTCATGTAATACAGAATTCCTGAGAAGAATGTGTGCTGTATATCTTTGTAAAATAATGTGCATTCTAGATAAAAATCCACATGCCAGGCTATTCAGCCAAGCACGTCTGTTAACTAAAGCAGTATTGATCTGTCACTGAATTCACAGACCTTCAATGGTTGCTGAAACACTACCCATCAATAATCCAATATCATTTTTTTGTTGCCATTATTAGTCAGGGAAAATTTTTAGTATTGATTTATTATCTATCCTTCAAGTTCCCCCATTTTTTTAAGGTTCAAGAAGTAGTTAACAATTAAAAAAACCACTTTTTCCAATTAAAATATTACCTATTTTTAATCAGCATCTTGTGTCAGATTTTTAAAAATAATCAAATACATTCTCTACATAGTCTTGGGCATTAGGCAGGGCACTAGCTACACTAAAGAAATCAAGATACCAAACCTTCAACATTGTTCTGCGCTGGGGGCCAAGTTTCAGAGAGAGGCGATTTCTGCCTTGTGCCTAACAAAGAGCCTCTGAGGTCTGATACACAAAGGCCACACATCACATTTACCTGGGCACAGAGTCGAGGCGTGCCCCCTAAAAGGTGCATACGTAGAACCCATTAGGAAGAAAACATAGTGTTCTGCAAAATGGTGGTGCTAAAACTCCTGAATGGACTTTACGGTGGCTGTTGTTAGATTAACAAAAGCAGGATGCTTGGAGAGGGAAAAGGGCAATCTTTGGAGCAGATTGAGTAGAGACTACCTCTTGCTTACAAGTGTCAGGGAAAGAGACATAAAGATCCCCTCTGCTCTAATGAACAGGGCATAAGCTTGGCTCTTCAACACAAAACTGAAAAGTTCCTATGTATTTTCACTATTATTTACCGGCATTCTTCTAAAAGTAAAGGGGGAAAAAGAGGAGAGATCATTTTAGTGTCATCATTATGGAAACAAATTCCAAGAGTAAGAAACTTCTTTCTAATATCTGCATCTGATATAGCTATGGAAAAGTCAATTTCCACAACTCCCATTTGTAACTACCAAATTTGGTTTCCATCTGGGAACTTTTGGAAACATTTCTGCTTTGGAACAAAGATTAAGTCTAAAAAGTACATTATTATTGTAAAGATTTTCTACAAAAAAACGGGGACTAGTTTTTTTTTTTTTAAATTAGGACAGAGGAAAGGAATTGTCTTGATTTTTTCCATGCTTCTCTTCATTCCTCCAATAGACAACACAAGGTAGCCATTCTACTGGCTTTAGGTGAATGCTCTACGGTATTGGTTTATTGTAATTCACTGAGGCCATTCTTCACATTGGAATCATCTGAAGTCAAACTGGCCCTGACTTTTGCTCCTATAGCCCTATGGACAAAGCCAACGTGGACTTTCTCCCTCAACTTCCATTATGTTTTGTGTGATGTCTCAAAAACAAAACAAAACCAATTGATTTTAGAAGAAAGCAAAGCTCACAAATATCTAATTCTAGCCATAATATTGAGTTACATTCATGCATTGAGAGAGAGAGTGCATATATCTCCACAAGAGGAGCCAAACCCGTGCAGGCTGTCTAGCTTCTGTTTCCCTGAACAAAGAAGACAAAAGGGCATAATCTAGAGTGGGTCTTGTGGCCAAATGAGCGAAAGACTGCACACTGCCGATGAGCCACTATACAACAAAAAAAAGGGAAAAAATATATTTACATAATTTCACGGCAACGTTCTGGGACAGCTTTCCCAACAGATTCAAAGGAAAACTCATATTGACTTTACCCTAACAAAGTATGCCAAGTCAGAACTTTGGCCCTTTCTCTTTTGAATGCCATAGAAAATGCCAGTCTCCTCTTCAATAGAGGGCGCTCCAGCTACTTTTTATGAAAAGAAAAATAACATTTGGTTAAGCCATGCCACTCCCAAAAGACACTGGGTCCAGGCAGTGCTGTTTTCTCTTCCCTTCAATGGGCAGCACAGCCATCAGATTTGTAGGGTTTTATTTATTTATTTTTTTTTGGTATAGCCTTGAAAAAGAGACAAAGGGAAAGGGCCATGCAATTCTTTAGCTGCATAGCCAACATCCAACAGCACATTTTCCATTGTGGCACGCAGAAGGACAAGGAGAGGCCAGGGCAGGTCAGACTGGACAGGAAGTCTGCAGGAAGGAGAACAGCAAGTAACAGCAGCTGAGGCCGCAGCTCCTCTGACTCTTTTATGGTAAGCATCACAGCTCGATGAGCAATGGGAAGGGGGGCTGGAGGAGCAGAGACACATGGTGATGTTCAGCACGCTCTGACTGTGAACATCGTCTCTGTAGGGCACAGGAAGTCCACAGTCTTCCATCCCCACTGATGGCTCGGTCTCTTCTGGGGCTCTGGGATCGGCTAAGGCCACTCTTGGTGATACTGCTTCCCATGACATTTCCGCTGTTTCTGCAAATGCTCCAGCTCCGCATCGTACATCATTTCTTGGACTAAGTACTTCTCCCGCCTCACTCGGTCAGATAAATCTTTGGGCATGTCAGGAATCAGGTAAGCAATGAAAGACTTTATTCCAAAAACCAGGTGCTGAAAGAGAAAAAAAATGAGAAACAGTTTTCAAAGACTTGAGAGAAACACCTGAAAAACCAGCCAAGCACATGTAAGGGCAGAACATGTTGCCCCAGGACTCTATGAGAGAAAACATCCTGAGAGTTCATCTGAACTGGATTGAAGAGAAAGAGGAATGGATTGTGAGTCTGGACACTAGGGTTCTAACCTGGCTCTGACAGTCTATGTGATCTTGGACAAGTCCCTTTCATTCTCTAAGTCTGCTTCCTCATTTGTGGGAGGGTAAGGAGCAGGGAATAGACCTGTGATTTCAGAGAGAGAGAGAGAGAGAGAGAGAGAGAGAGAGAGAGAGAGAGAGAAGAGAGAGAGAGAGAGAGAGAGAGGAGGGAGGGAGGGAGGGAGGGAGGGAGAGAGAGAGAGAGAGAGAGAGAGAGAGAGAGGGAGGAGAGAGAGAGAGAGAGAGAGAGTGAGAGAGAGAAATCAAAGGGGAGGGGATCCATCTACCAATTCAGGTTGGCACCATCTCTTCAACTCAGAGTTTCTCGTGGCCTTCCTTTAGTTACCTAACCACTATGTGTTAGAAGCGGGACTCTATCCCAGGTCTTCCTGACTCTGAGGTCAGTTTCTTTTCCATAGTACTATGCTACCTATTACCTGTAAAATGTGAATAATCCTTGCATCAATGACCTTTTGGGGTTTTGATGAAGAAAATGCACAATCATTCTTCAAGTGTTTTGTAAGTGTGTGCTATTATTAATTTGATTACAGATCTGTTCCTTTTGGATTACCTTGGTTGGGGAGGTAGGTGAGCAAAAAGATTCATAATTTAGTGTCCTGCATAACTAAGTACTTTGTCAGTACTGTTTTCTTTTCATTGATCATTAAAAAAAATAGCTGAAGCTTAAATTTAGATTAATATGAGCTTCAAAAGGACAATTCCATAACGAACTGATTAAATAAGTGTGCATGGAACACTATGGCAAAAATAACATCTTTCAAAAGATATCAAGACCTTATGATAAAAAGGAGATGTGAATGTGACTAGCGTATAGCTTGGCTGCTGGAGCTCACAGATCCTTACCTCTAGTAGAAATTCAGGCCATTTCTACACAGCTAAATTCAACAAATGTTTATTAAGCAACTACTATGTTCAAGGGACTCATTGTATACCAAATGCATGGGCCAACATAAGATGAATGCATCATCTTTGTAGCTTAAGGAACATAAAGAGCTCAGGTTCCTTCAAATCTTTGGTGTATGAAGGGCAAATACTACTGGAATTTAGGAGACCTCCCTGAGAAGAACTTCTTGCTGCCATGCATTTCTGAAAATATCTTCTTAAAACAGATGGCATTTTCCAGGGATGTAGGGATAAAAGCTTTGAAAAAAAATAATGCACACATGACACACATTAAAGTTTAATCGGCATCATTAACATTTTCTCCATCACTTTCTTAAGTCTAGACAATCAGTAGAATAATAAGTCAAGTCCTGATTGGTGGTGTTTGCCAATTTCTGAGATGTAAAGGCTCCCACTTAAAATTTAACAATCAGCTTTCATAAGCTGGCAAGAACTAATTTTAGCACATCTTTGAATTTTCCTAAATGAACAAGGTCAGTGTTGCTGACCAACAAATCAGTAGCAAATAAGTCATAGCTACCTGATTTTTTTCTTCTTCTGGGCCAATAATTGTATTCATGTGGGGAGGTTTCAGAACAAGAAATTCTTTTACTAATGGAGTTTCATAAGGCATGATAGGTGAGGTGATTCACTCAGGATCACACTGCCATCGGTGTCAGAGGAAGGACTTGAGACTCGGAGTCTTCCGTTACTCCAAGATTGACCATCTATCCATCATACCACACTGTGCCACACAGGGATCATGGGACCATAGATTGTCAAGATGCAACATCTGGTCCAATCTCCTCATTTTACAGATGAGGAAATTGAGTTCTATAGTAGCAAGCAAGGACAAGTGATCTTCCCAATATGCCATTAAAATAAACAGGGCAAATATTAGTCTCCCCGTTTTACAAAAAAGAAACAAGGAAAATTCAGGGAGGAAAAGTAACCATTTCATAGTCTCACACCCCAAGTTAGTGGTAGAATAGGGACCAAAACCCAGACCCTACCTAGGAGTGCAGACTTATTTCCACTACATCCAAGGATGTGTCCTACAAGCAAGAGACACTCTATAGTAGCTACAGAACTCTATAATGATTTATATTAATGACATGCTCCAAGTACTCTAAAATGGGCCGAAGTATACTGTCCTCACTCGTTATACAATGGGCCCTGGAACACCATATAAGAACGTGGCTCAGTAGATCTCACTGTTCTGAGAGTAGGAACACCTGGGTTCAAATCCTATTTCTGACAGTGACTAAGCTTTGTGGCCATGGGCATGTGAAAATCTCACATAGTTGTTGTACGATTTCAAGGAGATACATTATGTAAGTTACTTTATAAACTTCAAAGCATGATGTAAATGCTGATTTTTATATCTATTACTGCCCTGGAGGCTTGGAACTTTCCAGGGCTCTGACTGGTGAGTTTTTATTTTTCCCTCTTCCCCAGATCCAGGCTTCTACCTAACTTCCTGGCCGTGTCCATACCTCTAGCTCCAATCAGCTAACTTTATGTATGATCTCCCACCATTAGATGGAAGCTCCTCCAGGTCAAAGAATGTGTTGCTGGATTTCATTTGTATCCCCAGTGCTTAGCCTGATGCCTGGTCCATAGTAAGTACTTACTAATATTTGCACTGAATCTTTGATTTTATTGGAATAGGGAACTCCCCAGGTGAGGAATTTTCCTCTACAATGCATGTCATCTCTTTCTGTGAAATTTATAATCCTGAAGAGTTGCCTAGAATGCTTAACCTTAGAGTGGTTAAATGTCATGCAGTCAGTGTACGTATGTTAAAGGTAGGACTTGAACCTAGGTCTTGCTGACCTCATAGCCAACTCTTTAAGACCTAGTGTAGTGACTACACAATGTTGTCTCTCTGCAGGGGAATGTCATCATGAAAGGGTTGTCTTCTGAAAATTAACAATATGCACAATGCATTGAAGCGGGAAAAGATGGTGGGCAGCTCTACCAAGTGAGAGCCTATTGAAAGTAATACAGCCTTGGCTTAAGGCAGTGACCAGTGAAATGGGAAAAATGACAAAGCTTCCAGTTCTAGACTGAAACAATGGCAGCTTCACTTAGATAAATGCAATAGTTACAGAGGGGTGACTGTGGGGGTAGATGCAAATTTATTCTGGGCATATGTGAAATAAAGTTGACTTAGTGAGAGTGTTCAGTAAGCAGCTGAAAACAAGGGATGTAGATGCGGGTAGAAGGGTTGTCTACTGTGGGCTATGAATTTCCTGAGGGCAAAGGCTAAACATGTGCTCTCAACTAAAGTATGACATGCACTCTATGGGTAGCCAATTAAAAAAAATGATGACAATGGTGGGCATTAAAAAAAAAAGCTGTAGACTTGGGAGTCATTGGCATAAAGAGGATGGAACTATCTGAACTGCAAAAACCCTTTGAGAGTGAGACATGACCAGAAAGCTAAGGACTGCTCTTTAGGGGAGAGCCACAGCTAGGTGGTGGTGGTGGGGAAGGAAAATTGAGGTGTTTAAAGAAGTATGAGAAGAACTTAGAAACTGGAGCCCAACTAGACAAGAGTTTCAAGGAAGAGATGGTGGAAATACATCAAAAGGTGAAGAAATGCCAAGGAGATGAGGATTGACAAAAAGCCATTGGATACACATAATCTCTAATAAATATTAGGGAGGAAACAAGTATTTATTAAGGACCTACTATGTGCCTGGCACTGTGCTAAGCTCTTTAAAAATATCTCATTTGATCTTCACAACAACCCTGTGAGGTAGGTGCTATTATGATCCCCATCTTACAGATGAGGAAACTGAGGCAGATAGCAGTTAAGTGACTTGCCCAGGTCGCAAAGCTAGTAGGTGCTAGAGGCTGGATTTGAATTTGAGTATTCCTGATCCCAAGCACAATACTGTCCACTGGGCCACTTAGCTGCAGCTGATGCAGCTTTTTAATTTGCTGCTAATGCAGATATACTTAGCCAGAATGTACTGCCTCACTCTCATTCCCACCACACACCCCAATATCAACGGTTAAAAATTCTTCCTTTCCTTCAAAGCCCAATTCATGTATCTCTTTTAAGAAGTCTTGCCTGATACTGCCAACTGCAAAAGATCTCTGCATTCATCCGACTCTTCAAAGCATTTTGCCTGGACCTCTCCTTCAGACTTTCCATGATATCCCTTCTACTGCAGTTAGCTGTGTCTATGTGTTATTCTCCTCACCCCAAACTCCTTCAGGGAACAGACTGCATATTGCTCTCTCTGTATCCTCTGCGCCTTATGCGGTTATCTTCTACCATGGTGGGTGTTTATTAAATGTGGAGTTGAATTTGTTTATGTGAAATAAACAATGTGACAAAGGGGCACTAGTAAAGAGAGAATCTGGCACAGACTCAGATTTGAATTTGACTCCAAACCCAGACACTTAGCAGTTTGATTCTGACATTTACTTGTTGTGTTACTATCATTTAAATGTGTTTCTGCATCTGTAAAATGAGGACAGTAAAGTTTGTAGAAGAAAATCATTGTCTATAAAAACAGGAACTTTTCTTTGTGATCTCTGCCTCACCTCAAACACGATGATGAAAGCCAGGCGAGCAGCAAGGACGTGCCAGAACTGTAAGGTTAACTCGTACGGGTGGGAGCTCCATGGCGGGGCTCTGTAGTCTCGGTACCTGAAATCCACAAAATCAAGGAACATGAAGTAGAGGGGAGAGGGTGGCCAGGCCTGAAGGTGGCTGATTTCCAAGAGAGTTCAAAGACAAAGCATTTCAAAGGTCTCATTAGGCTACACAGAAGGAGGAGAGGGAGGGGGGCGAGACATAATGGAAAACTAAGAAGAAACCCAAAATAGATACCTGCAGTAACCAGAGTGGCCAGGGCCAAGTTCACTCAGGTCAAACACTGATAAGCTGCTGTTGACATACCCTTTTAAACACCTGGAAGAAACAAAGGAAAATAAAATGATTCTGCTGTTGTACATATAGTAGGTAATTCACTGATGTTCACTGAGTTGAGTGTCTAGAAGACTGAAGTGAGAATAGGTGGGAATTGCTAGAGAGGGAGGAATAAACATCCAGCTACAAGCGCTACAGCAGAGAGTGAGGTGGGAACAATGCTGACAATGATTTCCCCAGGAAATTTTGCTGTTAATGGTAAGGATGATGATGATGATGATAATAAACATTTATATAGCTCTTTAACATTTAGAAAGTGCTTTTAAAATCTTTCATCATATATATATATATATATATATATATAAAATATACATGATAAATATATATAATACAAATACATATAAATACATTTTATGTTATAAATTATAGTATATAATTATATATTATATATTAATAAATATAAAATAATACACATGATAAATATGTAATGTAACTACATATTATAAATAAATTTTATGTTATATATTATATTATACAATTATATATTATAAAATATTAGTAAATAAATAAAAATATATAATAATATATATGACAAGTATATACAACTTCTGTTCCTCTTTCTCTTCTTCCTCCTTCTCCTTCTCGACCTCTTTCTTATTGAGTTGATCACTGTAATTATAATTGTGTGACTTGTCCACAGTCATACAACTTGTACAACGTAAGTATTAGGAGAAGGGCCTGAACCCAGAGCTTCCTGACTCCTAGTCTAGTACTGCTCCAGACTTCAGAACATTTTAAACACAGCAGACTAGACAGAATGGGAAAGGAAGGTCTGGATGTTAGGAGTTGTCAGAACTAATTAGGAAATAACACACACACTATATATATATATATATATATATATATATATATTAGGCACCGCTTTTCAGCCACTAGATGGCAGAAAAGGTACCAGCAATTTAATAATTCTAAGGGTAAAACTCAGAGCTGAATAATTTTGGTAGGAATCAGTGCTGGCTTTCTAATCACATTTTTGTTTTTTAAAATAAAGCTTTATCGTTACCAAGTTTTGCATCCATTAACTGCTATGATTTCTTTTTTTTTAATTAATGGTGTGTTTTGTTTTTACATTACAACCATTTATAGGTCACTATATTAGATCTCTTGTAACAAAGTTCAATGATTAAGTAACACTACCAATAATACAGTGTGCCCTCATCTGAAAAAACATGTCACATTCCATACCTGTAACACTCCTACCTTTCTCTTAAAAAAATTACAGAAATCTATTTTCTCTCCTTCCTATACCCCAGCCCGTTGGAAATAAAAAGAAAAGAAAAACGAATTTCTTGTAACAAATAGGCATAATCAGGGGAAAAAAAACCCTTACTTGACATATACAAATTATATATATATATATATATATATATATATATATATATATATATATATATATATACAAATTATATATATATATATATATATATGAACATATATATGTATATATGAATATATATGTATATATGTATGAATGCATATATGTGTTCATATACATGTATATGTATTCTGCAGCTTTAGTCCATCGCTTCTCTGTTGAGGGTAGTGTAGTTATTCATTGGTGCTTTGAAATCATAAGTGGTCTTTGTATTGAACAAAGTTTTTTTTTTTCACCATTTTCCAAGGTATTTATTTTTACAGTTTTTCCTTGCATAAATCGTTCTCTTGTTTCTGCTTATTTGATTCTTCATTAGCTTATAAAAGTTCTCATTTTTGTATTAGTGATACAATATAAATTATTCTTCTAGCCATGCTTATTTCTCCATGAATCAGTTCATATAAGCTGCTTCCTGAAAGCATCTATTTCCTCATTTCTTATCATATAAAGGCATTTCATCACTGTGATCCTGGCATTAACACGATGCTTGTATCTTAGCTGACTGCAGCCTTTTCTTATTTCTGTTTCTATGGAAATAGCTGCCCCCAGTAACAATGTTTCACCTAACATCATGATTCCATGGAATGGGCAGCGTGAGGTAGATATGCCCAGGCTGCCCATGCATCACCACGGACTTCATGATTACAAGTGCAGTATGCAGAACTGCAACCCCTAATATCCCTCTGGGCCATTGTGGTTCCATTTTATTGGACATAAAAATGTACGATTGGGATTCCAACCTTACCTTTCTTGACTGTATCCTTGACCTTTACACGGGCCATATCTGAATGCGTAGACAAAGCGTGGGATGTAATCAGAAGTGATAGCAATGACAAATGCATTGGTGATTACAGCTAACACCCCAATTCCTTCAAGAATTCCATACCAGATTCCTAGAAAGGGAAAGATTCTAGATCAGAGGCAAGGATTAAATACAACCATTGAACAAATAATTAAGCACCTACTCTGCATAAGGCATGGTGCAAGGCATTGGGGGCATATAAAGCAAAATTCATCCATTCAGCTCCCTCAAGGAGTTTGCATGCTTTTGAGGGACACAATAGAGAAAGGGGCAATGTCGTATATTAGAGAAGTCAGAGGACCTGCCTCGGACATTTATCATCTCTCTGACCCTGGATAAGTCACAGTTTCCCAGGGCTTCAGTTTCCTAATTAGTAAAATGATAAGGTTGGATTCAATGCTGCTGCTGTAATTCTAAGCCTAGCACCTAATCCTCAGAGTAGTTCTGAGGATCAAAGGGGATAATAATTGTAAAGTTCTTAATACAATGTCTGGCACGTAGTAATAATCACATAAATGTTACTTGTTGATGCTATTTGTTATTATTATTATTATTATTAAGATCTAGCTTAGCTGAAGTTGCAAGCATGTGCCAGGACGGTTGAACCACCATGGCCACCTTGACCACCATCTTTCCTCTGACTCTGGGGACAGCCCAGGGCCCTGAGCTCAAGAGCCTTGGGATGAACAGCATTTCTAGGGTCATGTTGGGAACCAAGTCCCGTGGAGATGCAGCCTGGCTACTGCTCCTTTGGGTGCTTCAATCATTGCTAGTGCAGTTCCAGAAAAGAAAGTTCTGGCCACAGCAGTCATTGGCACTGTTGAATGGTTCAACATCAGGAAATAAATATGATTTAATGAGTGGAAATGACACCCAAGAGGAAACATAACCATCTGCTTAGAGGCTGCAAGCTAAGGAATATAGGACTTTTCCGGCTGACTTGTAGCTGAGGACTCCCAAATGCATTATCTCACCCGTTAGAATGTAAGCTCCCTGACAGCAGCGCCTGTCTTGCTTTTCTATTTTTGTACCCCAGTGCTTAGTTCATGATAAGTGATTCATAATTGATTTTTCATTGATTTCCTGATTCATTCCTTCAGGAAGAAATGTGTCACTCCTTAAGCATTTAAGAGGCAACTGTGTGTCAGCCTTTGTACTAAGAGCTGACGAGACAAAGAAAGGCAAAAGACAGTCCCTGCTTTTCAAGAGCTCACAGTCTAAGTGAGAAGAAAACATGCAAATAACTACCTATAAATAAATGGTGTTGAGTTATTTCAGTCATGTCTGATTCTTTGTGACCACATTTGGGCTTTTCTTGCTGGAGATACTGGCGTAGCTTGCCATCTCCTTCTCTGGTTCATTTTACAGATGAAGAAAATGAGGCAAACGGGGTTTAAGTGTGTTGCCCAGGGTCACACAGCTAGTAAGTATCTGAGGCCAGATTTGAACTCCTGAAGGTAAGTCTTTCTAACTCCAGGGCCAGCACTCTATCCACTGCACCGCTCTACTTCCCTATAACAAACATATTGAGAATAAGTTGGAGAGGAGAGACGGAATGTTGATTCCCAAAGAAGACCGTGACATCGGGAAAGTGATGTCGTGACTTGCAAATGAATTGGATTTAAGTAAGAGAGGGCTGTGCAAGGTCACCAGCCTCATTTTTATCTCTGGAGCCATCTGGGTCCAGTGGCAAGATATAGATCAGGATGACTGGAGATGGCCCTGGAAGAGGGAAGGTACTGGCATTAAGGAGAAGGTAGGACTTAAACTGGAACTGAACGAAGCTAGGGAATTGAGGAGGTACCATTAAGGAGGGACAGAATTCTAGACATGGGAGACAGGCAAAATTGCCTGGAGTTGGTAGTGCAGCGTCTTGTTCAAGGAAGTAAGGGTAAGGAGGTCAGATAGATGAATGCATGGGGTAACGTATATGAACACTAGAATGGCGGGAAGGGGTCAGGTTGTCAAGGGTTTTACATGCTGAATAAAGGATTTTATATTTGATCCCAGAAGTAACTGGAATTTGAGTAAAGGGGGCAACATGGTAAAATCTTTAGGAAGGTCGTTTGTATAACTGAGTAGAGGATAAGTGGAGTGAGGAGAGAATTGAGGCAGGGAAACTGATCAGCAGCTTACTTCAAAAGTCCAAGATGGATCTATGGCCAATTTCTACCATATACTTTCCAGTTTTCCCAACAGTTTTTTTTAACCAAATAATGAACTCTTAACCCCAAAACTCAAGTCTTTACACTCATCAAATACAAGGTTACTATACTTATTTGTCTAATGGTAGCCCTTTCTAGGGTGGGGGTGGGGGTGAGAAAAAAAGAGGAGAAAAAAGAAATTTATATAACTTTATTATATATTTAAAAGGAGTAACAAGTTATACATAATAGATTTGCACTTTCATGTGCAATCATCTTTTAAAAAATTCTACCGTATTATGGAAATGCTTGTTTTATTCCATAAATTAATAACGAAACAATTAAAAAAAAAGTCCAAGCTTGAGATGTTGAGGGCCTGACACAGGTAGATGGCAAGATCAGAGGGGAGGAGTTGTTGCCAGAAATGTTCCAAATGTAAAATCAACAGACCTTGGCAACAGATTTGATTTTGAGGTTGGAAGGGAGAGAGAAGGAGGGCGTTAGGCAATTCTGCTTGGAAAATAAGAGGGAATAATATTTCTCTTCTTCCCTGAAGGAAGGAGACTAAGCAGGAGACATGATGGAATGGCATTTTTTTCTCCTTCCCCCAAAGGCAGAAGACCTGTCAGGAGATCTGATAGGATGGAAGGCATTTCTCCCCTTAGCCCCAAAGGCAGGGGAACAGGCAGGACACAACGTGCTGGAATGGTATTTCTCCCCTTCCCCCAGAAGGCAAGAGACTGGTACACAATGGAAAGGATTTAGTAAGCACTTGTGTTTTGTTTTTTACCTTTTGTTTTTAGATCATAGATCAATGCTTTCAAGTACTATCTTGAAAATTATAGGAGTACAGTGAAAACCAGGGTAGATTTATCTTTGTCCAAGATTAGCTAGTCCGCGTTCAGCCACTCTGCTAAGAAGCTGTACTTTCCGGCAGAGTACCAATGGTATAACTTGCTCATGAAACTTGACTGTTTCTGTATCCGTACCACATTTTTATTGCCTTTCTGGCTTAGACAACATGGATGAGTTGTGGCTTCATCTTTGCTTGCTTCTGCCAACCGTCTGACTCCCTCCTCATGATAGCATGAAAATCAGTCCTCCCTTCTCTCTCCCTGTATCCGAAAAGCCCTCCCCTTCTTATTTAGACTCCCTGGTTCGGTCTATGGCTCATGAATGAATCATTCTTCAAGCCTTGTAATCTCCCAGATCCTGCACATACAAACCCAGCTTTCTGCCAGGGCCAAGTATCCGAACTGCAACTCACAAGTTTCCAAGCCCACCCCTGCTTTGCCATAGGACACCTGGATAACTTTCTTACCTAATACCTCACTGCACAAATGTGCAAGGGGACTAGTTAACGCCTCAGAGTTTGCCTTGTTCAAACCTCTCATTTTACTGATGAGGGAACTGAAAGGTACAACATTACTCAGAGCTGGAGGAGACATTCGAAGCCAATCAGTCCATCCCCAAGCCTGTGCAAGAATTCCCTCTATAATATCCCCAATAATTTCCAGCCTCTGTGCCATATTGTCAGGGAAACTCCATGGTCTCCTAAGGCATCCCATTCCACTGTTTCACATTTTCTTTTCTTTTCTTTTCTTTTTGTTGTTGTTATTTTAGGCAATGGGGTTAAGTGACTTCCCCAGGGTCACACAGCTAGTAAGTGTTATGTGTCTGAGGCCGGATTTGAACTCAGGTCCTCCTGAATCCAGGGCCGGTGCTCTATCCACTGTGCCACCTAGCTGCCCCTGTTTCACATTTTCAGTTGCTAGCAGGCTCTTCCTTCCACATCAAGTCCCCTTCTCTGTAATTCTCACCCACTGATCCTCTGTTCTCTATGTCTAAAGAAATAAAAAATAATACCCCTGTAGTATCAAGCCAAATTTGGTGGGGGAAGCCTTGATTTGTTTAATAGAAGAAAACAAGATACAGTGATATGAAGACACAAGAAGCCAAGATAGCAGCCAGCTGTCTACCTTTTGGTGACCTGCTCCATACTGAACAAATTAATTCTAGTGCCTTTCTTCTATTGACTGTCCCCAATTTTTCTCCCGCTTAGAGCTGGTTTGTACGTGACTGTTTGCATGTTGTCCCCTCATTAGACTGGGAACTCCTTGAGAATGGGGATTGCTTTTTGCCTTTCTTTATTTCCGTAGAACTTAACACAGTACCTGGCACATGGGAAGTGTTTAATAAATACTTATCATTATTATTATTAATAATAATATATAATTAAATATTATATAAATAATTAATAATTAAATAATACTTATCAACCCATTGACGAGTAGCAGAGGAGAAATTTGAATACAAGGCTCTACATTCTCAGGGCACTTTGCTTTCTGATAGGCTACCCTTTTGCCCCAGTTAATGGTTCTAAGAGGCAGGCCACATTTTCCAGAAGTATCCAAAGGGTTTCAGTTGTCTGAGCACCAAGGAGAGTTTGCCAGAGGGAGATCACTTTCTAAATGGTCTCATGGCACTATTCTCAAGGAAGGCATGTTGGTGAACCTTCAGTATATTAATCATTTTGGCGACTCTCCAGTCCTAGTCTGTTCAAAATTACAGACATGGCTAAAGAAGAAAAAAGAGATCCTTAAAAATTCCATGAGGTCATAGGATTATAGGAGGACAGAAATTGAGACTTAGAACTGGAAAGGACCCCAGAGAGGACTTGGGTTATCACTGAATCCCTTTGGCAGCCTGGTGAGGCCAATAGACTCCTCGGAATAATGTTGCTCAATGTAGAAAATAGAACGCAGAAGACAACAAAAGAAATAATTGTATTGGAAGTCATACACACACACACACACACACACACACACACACACACACAAGTTCATAGATCTTGGATTAAGAAATCCTGATTGTTGTCCCACCCTCTCTAGTTAAAGATGAGGAAATTAATGCCCAAGGAGGCCATGATTAACAAAGAGTGAACCAACTTCTTCCTGCCATGTCATGGTGAGCTAATCAACTCTTTCTTCTTCCATCCTTAGTTGCTCATATATGTGTAGGGTGTGTGTGTGTGTGTGTGTGTGTGTGTGTGTGTGTGTGTGTGTATGTGACAGAGACAGAGAGAGACAGACTTAGACACAGAGAGACAAAGGGAGATACACAGAGACAGAGAGTGATTGGAGAGTCAAGAGACCTGAATTTCCATTCCAGCTCCAACACTTACAAGCTATCTGACAAGCTAACTTTAAACAAGTTCATTTATCTCTCAAAGCCTCAGTTTCCTTATCTATAAAGCAGTAAAGGAGCATTTATCAAGTGCTTACTGTACTACCCGCAACTGTTCTAAGTGTTGAGAATACAAATAAAAATAAAAAGGCCCTGCCCTCAAGAAGCTCACCATCTAACGGAAAGGGGTGGAGAGCGCTGAGGATAGGGGACAAAGGCATCCTGAATCCCTGTAGAGTGCATCTCCTGATTCTACTTCTGCCCTCTAGAGCCATACAGAATATATCTATATAAAATTTCTTTTTTAGTTTGTTGTTGTTTAGTCATTTCAATTGTGTCTGACTCTCCTGTGACCTCATCTGGGGTTTTCTTGGCAAAGCTACTAGACTAGTTTGCCATTTCCTTCTCCAGCCCATTTTACAGATGAGAAAACTGAGATAAAAAGGGTTAAGTGAGTTGCCTAGGGTCACACAGCTAGTCAGTGTCTGAGGTCACATTTGAACTCGGTTCTTTCTGCCTCTGGGCTGGGTGGTCTCTCCACTGTGCCACTTAGCTACCATTTATAGTTAATATCCCTTCTGATATTTGAACACAGCTATTATGCTCTTCCTCAACATCTTAGCTCACATGGGCCTGCTCTCCCAACATACCAGGGTATCTTTGTCTCAAGAAAATGGGATCACCCAATCCACTCATGTTATAGTTGATGTAAATGAGGCCTAGCGATGGGAAATGATTTGCCCAAGGTCACACAGATAACATTAATACAGCCAGGGCATGAACCCTAGTTCATAGGATAAGCAAGGATCAGAATGCTTTCAGTACCAATCTCACAGGGTTGTTATAAGGAAAGACATTTCTAAACTTTTAAAAGTCCTATAGAAATGTGAGCTGCTGCTGTTGCTATTATTATTATTATTTTATTTTCTCATCTTTTTTTGATACAATTCAGACATAAAATGATCCCTGAACAAGTCATTACGCTGTGATTATTCTTGTATGTTTAATGCTCTGTGGACTACTACACAGGCATATAAAATAACTGGTTATTCTAACAGAACATAATCCCTCTATTGGGAAGCAACTTCATCTTCTGCAGTCTCTTTAAAGACATATCTGAGACTACCCTTGTAGGAGACTAGATGATTATGGTGACCTCATTCTATTCCCATTTGGCATCAATTTCTTCAGCTAGGCCTCAATGTTTTGAAAGTTTGGTATTTCATATGGTTTGGAGATTGTGAACATTTGGTATGGTGGCATATCAGTGACTTTACCCAGTCTAAAAAAAAAAATTGCTGTTAATTTTTTTATGGATCAGTGACACAGATGGTTAATTGTGGGTAATTATTCTCTGTGATAATATTGCAGTTCCATTATAGTCTATTTATTCAATTCTTAAGGATAGTTTTGGGTTTATATATGTAGTATAAGGATATTTTGTCTGTTAGTTTGTGGAAGCAACCAAGCCTGTGATGTGTAATTCTAGTGACCAGTTTATATCTTCTTAGATATTTTAGTGGGTGCTTGATCTTTCCAGCCTACAATAATGTATAGGGCAGTTTCTAACTTTTCCTTTCATTAACTGCATTAATTAATAAATTCAGATTCCCTAAGCATAACCCTTTCAAAATTTCTGGTGATGACCAAAGGCTGAATTCCTGTAAAAAATCCTTTCTTTTCAATAAACATCAATTGTACCATATGTTCTACTCTCAACATATTGTTGGTAGAGTTGATAAGGCTGTTGCCCATGGGAGGCTTTTTAATTCTACTCTTGTATCTTAGTTGTTAAAACGGGCTCCAGGCAGAGGCAAAATATTTTTAGTAACACTCAACACACCCAATGATGTATAAATGCTGTTCAGTCATGACTATTATTCTTTGAAGGAATGTCTACTTCTTCCTAAAGTATTGACATGTCATTTACATATTATTATTATTATTATTATTATTATTATTATTATTATTAAACTTGATACCTTCAGTTATTTACAGGTTTAACTCTCTTTGGAATATGTCCATGGGCAACAATTTGACTGGACGGCAGATGGAATTTTTCACTTTTTGACAAAAAGGTCAAAGGCTGGGAGAGACAAAAGCTAGACAGCAGATTCTCCAAATGGACAATTTCAACTCAGACAGATGGGAGAATCCATTGGCTGTTTACCAATAATTCTGACCTTTGTTTCCATGCTTGGGGGCACAAGCCAATGAAGCACACCCAGTGATATATTGAGATGTGGCTGAAGATTTGGTTCATCAACAGAGCAGTTTCTAATTACACACACTCACCTATATTGGTTGCCCTTGCAGGCAAAGGTCTTCTCCACTGAGTGACAAATTTGTAGGCATCCAGTCGGATTTCAATGATGTTGTTCATCAGGGCCAGGAGCGGGGCCAGAGGGAAAGCTGCCACAAAGATGGTGACGAAGCCAAACTGTAAAACTACCAAAAAAAAAAAAAAAGGGCATCAGATCCGGGGGTGGCTAAGAAAACAGATGGAGTAAGTCAAACAAATTTCTAAAACTAGAAGACCTTAGAAACAATCTCATAGCACGATTCCCAATCTGTGGGCTATAGACCTTTCAGAGGCTATATGCTAATTATAAGAGGTCCGTGAATCCTTAAATGTACCTGGCTCTATCATTTTGGCTATTACCTCCAACGAAAAGTGCAGCATGGCTCAGAACTATTTTTAAACTATACAAGTATATGTGTGAACATATGAGTATATATGTCTATGTACATACAAAGCAATGCAAGTGAATATGTATCTATTCATGCATGTCTATGTATGGATATACACATTGATCTCTACATACAAAGCATATACATTCAGGTCTAAGCATATATACATATGTATATATACACATATTTATGCATACAGCTATATCTACTTACACATATACGTGTTATGCCTATATTGAAGATGCCTTTGTACTTGGTATGAAGAGTTCCACATGTATGTTCATTTATCTTGGAATACATCCAATTTCTACACATGTCTCATGGAATCAGGTCTTTTGGTAACATGCATATTACATACAATTTGTATGTATATATGTGTACATGAATATATACGTAGGAATGTATATGTGTGTATGCATCTATCTACCTATTTATATATCATTTCATTAATGGAAAGAATTCCAAATGTGAAAATTCCCTCTATCTATTCAGAGCATATGTGTTGTTTCTCCTATCAAAATGTGAGTTCCGTGAGTGTAGAGACTATTCCTCTTTTTTATTTGAATCCTCAGGGCTTAGCTGAGTGCTTTGTACACAGTAAGCACTTAATAAGTGCTTTTTATTCATTCATTCCTTTGACACTCATCTGTAATGTAGAGTGATGGTTTAGGAGGTGCCTATGGTCACAAAAGTAGTATATGATAAAGGAAAGGATTTAAAACCAAGCCTTCCTGACTCCTCCGTCTACTCCTCTAGTCTGCTTCTTGTATAATCATATGTATTTCTTTATGTAGGCACATGTATATATGTATATAATACTATTTTTCAAATTTCATCAATGTGATTAATAAATGTGATAGATGTAATATATTATATAACATAATATAATTAACACAAAACATAATTAATACAGATGTGATTAATAAATACTAATTAATTTTTGTTACTAAATTCTCAATAGTTTTAAAAATAATTGTTATGTTAATATTAATCAACAATGCTAATAATGCAATTAATGTTGTGGAGGGTTTGCTTTAAAAATATTTTTAAAAAGGAATCCTTAACTATGCCCAAAGGGCTATAAAAATGTGCGTACCCTTTGATCCAGCAATAGCTCTTTAGAGTTGTATCCCAAAGAGATCATAAAAATGAGAAAAGGACTCACATTTACAAAATTATTTGTAGCAGTTCTTTCTGTGGTGGCCAAGAATTGGAAATTTCCCATCAATTGGGAAATGGCTGAACAAGTTACAGTATATGAATGTAATGAAATACTGTTGTGATATAAGAAATGATGAGCAGGCTGACTGCAGAAAAACCTGGAAAGACTTGTATGGACTAATGCTGAGTGAAGTGAGCAGAACCAGGAGAAGATTGTACATAGTAACAGCCATGTTGTGCCATGACTAACTTTGATAGACTTAGCCCTTCTCAGTAATTCAAGTATCTAAGACATCTCTAGAAGTCTCATGATGGAAAATGCTATTCACATCCAGAGAAAGAACTATGGAGTTTGAATGCAAATTGAAGCATACTATTTGCTCTTTTTTTTCTTCTGTTTTGTTTTGTTTCTTCTTTCTTGTGGTTCCTCCTATTGGTTCTAACTCTTTTTCACAACATGACTAATGTGAAAATATGTTTAATAGGAATGCATATGTAAAGACTATATCATATGCATGCCATCTTGGGGAGGAAGGTGGGGAGGGAGGGGGAGAAAATTTAAAACTCAAAAGCTAATGGAAGTGATTGTTGAAAACTAAAAATAAATTAATTAAAAAAATTTAAAAAATAAAAGGAATCCTTATGCTAAAAAAAAAAAAAAGATTGGGAATCACTAGTCTGGTTCTGGAGGCAACTAAACATTACAGTGGCTAGAATGTTGGGCCTGGAGTCAGGAAGACTCATCTTCATGAGTTTAAATTCACCTCTGACACTTACTAGCTGTGTGACCCTGGGCACATCACTTGACCCTGTTTGCTACAGTTTCCTCATTTGTAAAATGCACTGGAGGAGGACATAGCAAACCACTCCAGTATCTGTGCCAAGAAAACCCCAAATGGGATCACGAACAGTTGGACACAACTGAAAAATGACTGAATAACAACAATGGTCTGGTTCAACTCTTTGAATTTACCAATGAGCAAATAGGATTGACAGAGGTTAAGTGACTTGCCTATAACTACAGAATTACACGGATTAAAAGATTGAAACAAGATTATCACCCTAAGATTAAAAAAAAAAAAGCAAACAAACAGTTGGATGAGCAGGGATTGGGGTCAGATGTGACTACACAAAAGATGGGGAGTTTAGTGGATAATGAGATCTCTAAGGAGCCATCCTTAGAGATCATAAGATCATAAATTTAGAGCTGGAAACCATAGATTTTATCTAGTCCAATCCGCTCATTTTGTGGATAGAAAACTAAGATGCAAAGGCTTGTAATGACTTGCCGAAGCTCACTCAGCCAGCACGTGGCTGGTTTGGAATTTGGGCCCAGGCCCTCTAGTTTCAAATTCAGTATTATTTCCATTACACTCCACAGGAAGTAACAGTAGCATGCAGCAGCCAAAACAAAACCAAAGTCAATCCTAAGCATAGACTAGGAGGTAGAGGCAGGGCTTGTCATTTCAGCAGGAGGGGAGACTCCTCCTACCAATCCATGCTGGCATCTTCTCTCAGTCTCTGAGCAAGTCATACAGAGCACAACAGAGAGCTTCAGTTCAAGGTCAAGCATGCCAAGAGTGGGCCTTGAACTGAGATCTTCCTGGCCTCAAGTTCTGCTCGCTATCCACTGTCCCAAGTTGTCTTTCCCTGTAATCTCAGGCAACAAAAACTAAAAGGACAAGAATTTCAAAATCAAATGAACAAGCAAATGTTGTTTGACACTCCTGATCCTTTCGTGGCTTAACAGAACTAGTGTTCACAATAAGTAATGGGTCTGCCATTAGTAGATAATATACTTCCCAGATAGTCCCATAGCCTGCTCCTAATCTAATGCAGAATATCTCACATCTTGACGGCTTATGCATACATCCTTACCCATTTCCAGGTATTCATCTATCAATCCATGGAGATTCATGGGCTGTAGATTCCAATCTTTTTCCCACTGTGGTAACTTCATCACCTGCTCATTCCGTTTAATCTTATGTTGGGTCCACCAGTTATGGAACAATCTATAAGAGAAGACCATGGGGCTTTAGAAATTATGCCTAAGTGATTGTTCAGCAACGGGAATAGTGTCCTAGACAGATGTGATTCTGGGAGTGTTCATGCTCATGATGGAAATCAGACCCGGTGTTCTAGATCCCAGGCCTGGTGGTTACCTTGAAGCTCACCATACCACCCAATTCTGATTCTGGTCTTCTGTGTTCCCCCGAGACCCTGCCTTCTCCATCTGAACTGAGCCCCCAGTACACCCTCTGGGTCCTCACATTGATCTTCATGCCATTTAGATAAAAATATTTCTATGATGAACTTAACATGTTGGCACCCTGTGGCCTGTTTCAGAATGAATGTCCAATAAGGAGGGTCTCTAATGACTTTTCCAGAGATGCTGACACATGCTATAGTTACATGTCCTCCACACTGCCCCTCTCCCCAAAAATAGAAGCTCTTTTGAGAATAGGGACTCTTGGGGCAGCTAGGTGGCGCAGTGGATAGAGCATGGCCCTGAAGTCAAGAGGACCCGAGTTCAAATGTGACCTCAAATCAAACACTTGACACTTACTAGCTGTGTGACCCTGGGCAAGTCAGTTAACCCCAATTGCCTTTAAAACCAAAAGAGAATAGGGACTCTTTCATTCTATGAATTTGAATGTGTATCCCCTTGCCTAAGGCACTTAATAAATGGTCATTGACTGGGACTGGATTCATAAACTCTCTGATGCAGAGCTGGAAGAAACCTCAGGGGTTAATCCAACCCTTTCATTTTACAAATAAGGAAACTGAAGCACTAGAATGTTAGGTGATCTGCCCAAGGTCAAACGAAGTATCAGAGTGGAATTTGAACCCAGGTCCTCCGAATCCAGAGAATGTGCTATTTCTCTATTGCATCACACACTAACAACATAGCAGCTTGAGAAACAAGGGAAAGGAATCCAAATGGTGGGGCCTACCTGAGCTTTTTATATCAAGAACTAAGAGGACCTTGTGTTCCTCCATTCAACTATCCCCCAAAATCTGCTTTACATGTAACTTTGATCAATTGGTCCCTATAGCTCCTATAGCACATTGCATTAAACATACTGTATGTTGAAAGAGAATTTATTTAATGGATGGTACATGATTTGGTTCATTGAAATATCCCCATGTCAGCACCCAGAAGCAATTAAAATGTAAGTGAATGGATAGAAGCAGAATTCCATGGAAAACCACATTTCCCCATTGATCTTCCTGTTGTGAAAACAAATGGTAACCAAATACATCTCCAGGTCTGATTTCTCATTGTTTTCTTTTAAAGATGAAATAGCCATTCATTTTTTTTTCCTGTGAAGCCCCTGTAAGGTTCAGATCCATTCATTGGGTTCATTGAAGACTACAAGGCTCTCTTTCCTAAAAGTGAATGACTTCAGTGAGAACTGACTTGCCCATCCCAGAACAGAAGGCAATACTTCAAGAAGAGCAGCAAAAATGCTTACGGGTATCCCAACTCCATGAAGTTGTTCCATGTCTGCTTTAGAACCATAATGACACTCATCTGCAGGCAGAGGTCAATGAGACAGCCGCTGGGGTGACACTGAAAAAGAACAGGACACATACCTGAATGGGAAAGCTGCTCCTTGGATCTGGGGGCAACATTCCTTCTGAGGAGATGGGACAGAGATTCAGACCTTCTGGGCAATATTCCCTGAAGGGCTGAAGGAGATTAAATCAAGCAACCACACAATTGAAGAGCCAAAAGGGACCTTTCTGGGCCAGCCTAAATTGCATGAAGGATTCCAAGTATAGAAAACTTGACAGATGGTCATTGAGTGGCTACTGGAACTCTGGAGGAAGACTTAAGAGGGAGTATGATAGCCACCTTTGTAAGAAGATTTTTCCTACTCTGCCATGCTGATAAAAACAGAGAAGCTGATTTCTCTGGGTCTCATGGGGCAGGTAGGTGGCACAGTGGGTAGAGCAGGACCTCAGACACTTAGTAACTATATGATCCTCGACAAGTCACTTTACTCTGTTTGCCTCAGTTTCCTCAGCTGTAAATGAGCTACAGAAGGAAATGGCAAATCACTCCAGTATCTTTGCCAAGAAATGGATTCATGGAGAGTCAGATATGACAAAGTGGTGCAATATAAACAAGAAAAAGTTTCCTAGAAATTAAAGCTATCTAAACAAGGAAGGGGTTGGCTCAAAAAGGAGTAGGTTCCCTTTGCTAGAGGCCTTTAAACAGGCTGACTGATCCCTTTTCAGGAATATTATAGACTAGTGAATCCCTGTTTAAGTCTGAGTAGAACTAGATAACTCTGAAGGCCATTCCAGTGCTGAGAATCTATGACTTTCAGTGATGAGAACTTACTATACCTTACACAGTGATTGAGACCTTACTGTCTACCTCGCAAATAATAGTGATGATAATAATAATAATACTTTGAATTTCTATAATCCTTCACTGTTTCCACTTTGCAGACATTACCTTATTTGAGCCTCAAAATGACTTCATGAGGCAATTTAAGAATGTGCTGAAAATACTCTTAGCCCCTCCTTCAAATGGTGAGGAAACTGAGGAATTCTGTAAAGTGAAGGGGTTGGAGTAGAAGAGCCATCTCTAAGAACTCTCCCAGTTCTAAAGCAATGATTTTATAATTTATCTCAGAACTCAAACCCAGGCCTTCAACTTCCAGATGAAAGGCTCTTCCAACTATTCTAGAGCTATAAAAAACACTTTTCTTTTTGGGGGTATTATAATTGCTAAAGAGTACCTCCTCATGTTGAAATAAATAGAGCTTTCTATTAGAGCTTCTCTAACTCTGTCCTGTAGAACCACTTAAAATCAGTCTGATATCTCCACAATATACTTCACGGACTATAAATCCCAAATTAAGGAAGAATTGTGATAAAAAAAAAACACTGGTGGGGACAAGAAAATGAACCCACTGGTTGATCTTCAACGGAGAGAGAGAGAGTATAATGCAGAGGAAAGGTTACATGACTTGGCGTCATTGAATTTGGATTCAAGTCCTTGCTTTTTAGATGTACTTTGTGCCATGACATCATGGATCAGAGCCTCTGCCCTCTGGGTGCCTTGGTATACTCATCCACAAAAAAGAAGATTATAGATTCAAAGGTGGAGGGGGCCTTGGAGGCTACCAACTCCAACCCCTTTATTTTACAGATGAAGAAACTGAATCAGAATCAAGCAGACACTATTAAGCACTTTCTACGTACCAGGCACTGTGCTAAATGCTAGGAATACAAATAAAAGCAGGACGACAGTTCTTGCCTCCAAGTAGCTTACATTCGAAATGGGAGAAAGACAAAATCAAGAAAGGAGCTGAAAGGGAAGAGTGAGTAGAGATGAAGGCACCCTCCCAGCCTGGACAGAAATGTTTTAGCTGTGGAGGGTCATGGAAGTGTTGTTCATGCATACTTAATCAGTTCTGTCCCACTCTTCATGATTCCATTTGGGGTTTTCTTGGCAAAAATGCTAGAGTGGTTTGCCATTTCCTTCTCCAGTTCATTTTTACAGATGAGGGAACTGAGGCAAACAGGGTTAAGTGATTTGCTCAGGGTGACACAGCTAGAAAGTGTCTGAGGCTGGATTTGAACTCATGAAGATGAGTCTTCCTGATTTTAAGCCCAATGCTCTATCCTCTGTGCCACCTAGCTGCCCCCAAATAAGTGTATAAGATGGAATTGGAAAGCAGGTCTTCCTGATTCCCAGTTCAACACCCTATCCTCTAAACCACATTCTCCCTCTACTTGTAAAGTCTTTGTAGGGAAGGGGCTTTGGAAACATATACATCTTAGAAATGTGAATTATAATGAACAGTGTACTTGGATTTTAGCTTGGGGGCATTATGATGATGTGAATCTGAGCTGTGACTCACATGTCTTTCCCTTTCCCCAGCTCCGGAAATGGTCCTGAGACCATTTCCATGAGAACCAATGTTCTAAGAAATGAAATGATGATGGTTTCTTTGTTCTTTTCTTTGGCTTTGATCTACTCCTTCATCTACTTTGCCAAGGCTTAGGACTCTAAGAGGAGGGAATAATTAGGACGCAAAGAGCCTAACTTTCTTGTTCTGATGTCACGTGGACACTCAAAGTCACAGAGGGGAAGAAGACCTGCCTCCATTGATCACTCCTCTTGTACAACCCTTGGAGCTAGAGAGAATTTTGCAGATGAGGACACTGGGCTGTAGAATGGCCAATCTCCTTGGCTAGTAAGTGGCAGGGCCCAGATCTGAATCTACTTGTTCTAACTCCAAAGCCATTAATTCTCCCTCCACATTGCCTTTCTCAGAACCAGTGGCCCAATTTGCTGACTGTCACTTGGGTCTTCTTTCTACCACAAAGTGACAAGCACGGGTTGATTTATAAGACTAAGAACAATGGTAAGAGGATTGGACTCAAGATGGATACAGTTTTTGGAGGTGGGGAGGGAGGCAGATCAGGGGATGGCTGGATCATGGACAGTTGTCCAGCAATGGCAGACTTGCATAGGCTTTGACTTGAAACTTTACATTGAAGGGCTCAGGAGCCTGGTGGCAGGTAAGAGAAAGGTGAAGAATATAAAACAAGCATGGAAAAGAAAAGGGGTGGGGGAGGAATACAAATCTGTCTGTGCCGCAGTTTTATCTCAAATGGGCCCTGGTCATTTACCTTGTGGCACAATGAATAATAGAAAGCTGGATCTGAAGTCAGGAGGGTCCAAGTTCAAATCCAGCCTCAGACATTTACTGACTGCAAGATTCTCAGCCTCTGTCTCAGTTTCCTCATCTTTAAAATGGGGAGTTCATACCTCCCGTGGGTGTTGTGGGGGTAAAGTAACATAATATTTATTAAGCATTTTGCAAGCATTAAAGTGTTACAGAAATGCTTTCTATCATTATTATTAATGATGACGACAAAAATAAAAACCGTATGACTATTACATAGGCTGTTTGAAGGAGAGCTACATGGCAGTAATATTTGCAGAACTTTTAATGGCATCATGAGACATTTAGGAATAGTCTCCTTCTTCATCATGAATTACCACCATTAAGGCATAGTAAAGTGATGGGTTTGGAATCGGAGAGAAAGAGGTTCAAATCTCACTTTAGACTCTACTTTGTGTGATCCTGGGAAAGTCTCTTAACTTCTCTCAACCTCAATTTCCTCATCTGTAAAATGGGGATACTACTACTACTACTACTACTAATACCTGTGCAATGGTCTCAAAAGTGGGGGCTACAGCCTCCTGTGATAGTCAGTCATGGCTTTGTTTCCAATACAAGTGCACGTGCATTTCATTCATTATTAACCTGTTGGGCCAGGATCCAACCTACCCTCATCTTCACTGAGAGTGGCCCCTCAAGGTATTTATCACCTGGGTACCCATGAAGCAGCTGTGTAGAAAATCCACCCATTCCCTCAAGATAACCGCCCTTCTGAACATCCAATGATTGTGGCAGGGTCCCCTTAGAGGATGCGCAGTGACCTATGAATAAGAACCTTTCCTGCCCTCTTTTACAATTTTGGTGGGACAGAAGAAATCACTCAGGACAAACAGCTATGGATGGCTTATGATTCGCATCACATATTACATAACATTATCTTTCCCTCGAAGCTCATGACTCTTCCAAATTTTGCTATTTCTGTCTAGGTCCTTCTAGTCACCCAGGTTTATAACCTGACAATCTAGACTCCTTGTTTTCACTCATGTCACCCACCCAGGCAGTTTTATTATATTAAAAAACAAAACAGAACAAAACTCTACAGTATAATTCATATCCCTCCCACCTTCTTCTCCACTCACATAGACACCACCCTGGTTCAGGCCCACATCAGCCCTTGCCTGGTTTTCCTGCCTCACATTTCTCCAGCATTCACAACTTGCTAACGTAATTTTCCTAAAGAACATGTCTGACCTGTCACCCTCTACTAAATAAATCCCACAATTCCCTATTACCTCCAACATCTAAGATAATCACCCCTGTCATTGGAAGCCTTTCACGATCTGACCTCAACCTACCTTTTCAAACTTATTTTACTTGATGCCCCCTTCCTGCACTTTCTGGTCAAGTCCAATTGGCTTTCCTGCTATTCCTCACACCCATACAAAGACACAACTAAAAAAAAAAAACAAAAAAACCAAACCAAACATGAATAAAAAAACGAAGATATTTTACCCATTAAGCAGGAGCCCATAAAGAAGGGATATATATTTTTAAAAATACTTTCAGCTGCATTGACATCAGAGACAATTCACTGTTGCTGTATGCTTGTTGAGTATCTTCCCAAAGAGAAAGATGACTCCTACTAAACAGCGCTATTATACTCACTGAATATTATGACTTATTGTCATACTGTGTTCTTTCAATTTAAAAAAAAAAACTAAGAAAAAAATTCTGGCTAGCCACATTGATAAAAATAATTGAATGATTAACTGCTAACAAATAATTATTCTCTTATTAGTCTTCCCTAGGTCCCAGAAGAGGCAGCTAGGTGGTGCAATAGATAGAATTCCAGGCCTGGAGTAAAGCAGACCTTAAATCTGGCCTCAGGCACTTACTAGCTGTGCAATCCTGGGCAAGTCCCTTAACCCTGTTTGCCTCAGTTTACTCATTTGCAAAATGACCTGGAGAAGGAAATAGCAAACCACTACAGCATCTTTGCCAAGAAGACCCCAAATGGGGTCATGAATAGTTGGACATGACCAAATTGACTGAACAATTAACAATAATACAATGACCACGTCTCCTACACTATCCTACTCGGGGCTTAATTCTGTCCCCTTTAGCCCCAATGATCCTGTACAGATTTGCCTCATTAGATTGAACTGGAGCTATGATTTCATTTCCCCTTTGATGGAGAGCCTTCTATCAATGCAGATCAGTAACTCTTTTGCACTTTAGATTCTTAGAGAGCTTCCTGTGACCAGGGCTCACACAGACCATATGTGTCAGAGGACTTGAAGCCAGGGTTTCCTAACCCTGAGCCTAACATGTCATGTTTCTCATCATATTTATTTTATTATGAAACAAACAAAAACCTTTAATGTGCTTCTTTGTGAGTGTCCATTACTTTTGAATAACTCTGTGTGATTTTATAATAGTTTTAAGAAGGCCTTTACACATTCTTCTATCCTGCAGGTGAGTATGTTGCTGTAATTGTCAAGGTATTATCAGAATGAACCCCTAAGCCAGATGTAGTTCATAGGCAGGCATCTAACTGTCCTTGTTCATCTCAGTTCCCAACCTGGCCCCTACTAACTCCTGGTGAGAGAGAGAGATCATGGCCTAGGGAAGTCCCTTCAGTTACAAACTGGGTGGATGTGAGGGGGCTAATCTTTCAGTAGTTGTCGGCAGGGGTTTTCTTGGTATACCCATGGCATCAACTCTAAAACATTTGTAGTCAGAAGGTCTAGATTCTAATTCCAAGTGAGCCATTTTCGAGCTGTGTGGTTTGGGACAAGTCATTTCAGTAATCTGGACCTTAATTTTCTTTTCTATAGAATGAAGGGGTTAGATTAGATGGCCTCTTACATCCCCTCCCTCATGTTTGAAACTATGACATTGTTTGGGGGTCTTTCAGCAAAACCACAACAAAGTATGCTAGGAGGTGGTTCACAATATCGGAATCATCTCTGAAGAACTGGGGGATTGGTTGTGGCAGGCTCTCCCTGAGGATTGTGGTCGCTTTCTGGAGGGCTCTGGGACACCTGCATGAAATCGGAGCTCACCTAAGTGGCTCCAGGTAACTGTTTTTATCTTTAGTTCTGGAGGTATGCAACAGGGCATTTGCATTAGGGTGAGGTTAATTCTATCAGTTTAAAAGATCTAGAAAAACCTGTTGTACCATACTAGTGCCTACCAGTAAAAATAGTTATTTATTTTCAGTAGGTTCACAGAATGGCATTAGAAATGCGGCTCCCCCTCAGGGGCTCCAGAGTATGGAAGCTGCTCCACGAATGACAAGGACCTTTCTTGAGGTCACCTTATCTTTATATTTGCCAATTCCTGGGACAAGCACCTGAAGTTTCTCAATCGTTCTTGATTCTAACATTAGAGAGAGCATGGTACAGAGGAAAAAGCATGGAATTTGGAGTCATGGGCCTTACATTCAAATCCTGACTCTGATTCTTAATATCTGTATGATTAGAAGCAAATCCTTCTACTTCTGGGAGACAGGACACTCAGCTTCCTCATCTCTGTAATGAGAGGGCCAGTTTTGATGCACTCTGAGGGCCCTTCCAGCTCTAAACCTTTGACTGCCGGAGGCTAGAGATCTACTGGTGAAGGGCACTTCACCTCCTGGACCCTATTTTTTTTCCAAGGGATGCTTTCATGAACAAATACCAGAAAGTCTAGCTGTTAGCACACATTTATAATGAAAACTCACTTTTACATAGAGATTTTTAAGACTTAGTATCAAATATTTGGAGCTAGAAAGGACCTCAGAAGTCAACTAGTACAACCCTTATTTTACAAATGAGGAAACTGAGGCTCATGGAGATTCAATATCTTGCCCAAGGTCATTCAGGCACAACTGGCAGAGTTGGGATATGAGGGCTTTTCTCCCAATGCCCTTCTAAGGTAATTAGCACAAATATTATCATCAGTTTTATCATGGAGGAAAGTGAAGCTAAGAGAGATTAACTCAGTTACATATAGCCACTAGCTAGGAACCATCAGAGCTAGGATTCAAACCCAGATATCTTGAACCCCAAGTTCAGTACTTTTTTCTATGCACCAAGCTACTCCTTCATTTATAATCCCGTAGTTCTCTTTTCTCATGTCAGCCAAATGCATCACCCTCATATACTCACTTCTTCCAATCTCCATCGGTCAAAAAGTTTATTGTATTTTCCTGGACGTCCTGAAAACCTATAAAAAAGAAAATTTCCGATTCATTAAAATTCATTGGGAATCAAAGAGGCTACCTCAAAAGAGCAGAAATGATGACTTTTTTAAAAAAAAGTTTATTGGCAAAAACTACTCCCCAAATGTTTTATTTTGGTTTTGTTTGTATCAACAAGCATTCATTTGACTCTGAGGGCACTGGGAATATGAAACAGAGAAGGAACAATACCTGTTCTCAAGGAACTGACATTCTAATGGAGTAAGACTAAGGCATTGATCACAGTAGAATGAAAACTACCAGAAGGCAGAGGTGGTTTCATTTTTCATTTGTATCACCAGAGTTAATTTGCACTTCAGAACTATTAAAATATATTAAAAATATTTATTATAATAGAAATATTAAAATAATTATTTTAAGCAAATAAGTTGCTTAAAATAAAAGAGAAATGATGGAAAATTAACAGATGTTTCACTCCTACGGGAGCTATGTTCCAGATGTTCTTCCCCCAATCTGTGTGTTTTGTGCGGCACAGATGGCACATTTGGGTGATTGCTCTTTCTGGTCTTCATGCAGATGTTTGGATGGTACCCCTGAGCCCAGCCATAACCAAAGCCGTGTCCCACAGGTGGCAAAGAAAATGACCAAACTGTACAGAACTGCACAGTTCCCAGATCCCTCCCTCACTGAATGCTGTGTGCTTTTCAGCAGCGGCAACAGTAACAGCAACAACATCAGTAACAACAACAAGCAGACAGGCTTCCAGTCAGAGATGCTTCACTATGTGTGCCAGGCGATGCACTAGGCATTGGCTGTACATATACAATGAATGGTGTGATTCCTGCTTTCAAGGAGACACACAAGGCTGGAAAAAGAACATGCATCTTTAAGACTGTGCGGCTCCCAATCCTAAGCACTGGTTGGCTCCTAATACAAATGGGCCAATTTATAAGAAGAAAAGGGTCTTTTTGGGGGAGGGATGGGGAATGGAGGGAGGAAAGAGACTTTTGCTTTGGCCAGAATCACTGCGTGTGTGGAGGTGACTTACCTGCCCAGGAAAAATGCAATGTAGAAGATAGAGCTGTTTAAATTGACGAACTGAAAGAGGAACATCTTCAGGGCATAGCTGTTCTCCCATTCCAATTCTGTTCTAGGCTGTTCTGAAAGGAACAGCAGAGGGTGGGTTACATGTACTGATTGAGACACATGGCAAGTGTTAGAATTCTCATCATTACCATCGAATCTCAGACTAGAAGAGGCCTTAAAAGCCATTTAGTCAACCCTCAAGTGAAGCATAACTCTCTACTGGCATCCCTAATGGGTAATCAGCTGGCCTCCACCTGAAGACCCACTGGCAGGTGATGATCTCCTAAAACATTTTCTTGTACTGTTGGGTCATTTTAATTGTTATCTACATCTTCCTCATTTTTGTTGCTTTTTACTTATTTGGTCTGTACATGTGATTTTATCAGTGTGGGGAACTCATGGTATGGAAACTTCTTCCACTGATGATGATTACCACCTCCTTGGTAACTTATACAACTAGAAAGTTCACTGAGAGGTTAAAAGACTTGTCTGTTGTTATAAAGCCAATGTATGTCAAAAGGACGACTTGAACTCAGATCATCTTGCCTCTCATACTGGCTCTCTATCCAGTCCATACTGATTTACATCTTACCTAATAAATACAAAAATTTCATTTCTATATGCAAAGATCAGAAAACATATGAAACCATAAATCTTTCCTACACATTTTTGTTTAAAAAAATTATATATATATAATATATATATATATATATATATATATATATATATATATATATATATATATATATATATATATATATATATAAAATTAATTCAATATGTTACTTTCAAAGCTGTCCTGTTTGTTTGTGCTTCCTTCCAAACTCTGGTCATTTCCATCTACTGCTCCAACTGCCCAGCAGAATACATCTAATGCTATTCCATGTGAAAATCTTTCAAATATTGGAAGATAATGTTTGAAGGCCTCAGTGTCCCTGTACCCCTAATAGCTTCAGCAGTTGTCCATGAAAAAAAAAAAAGATCCTTTAGAAAAAAAGCTAAGAGAATTTTCAGGAGCTACAGAGAACAGAAAGCCTCTTTGCTATATTTTCCTTAAGGGAACAACACTTAAATGGAAGCCCTTAGTTTTCTGGCTCTTTGTGGAAAGAATTCTGGCATTAATGACCCCAGAAAATGATTTCATTGTTAAATATTTACCTATCACCCTTTATAGAAGCACAGGCTACCATCCTATTATCTCTATCCTTTTCAAAACTTCAGTCAAACAGGAAAATGAAGGTCTTACAAGTTTTCTAGACTCTCATTTTTGGAAAGTTTCAATCCCCATCTCCCCCGTGCTCTAAGTATCAGTGCTATGGTAGGATCAAGAGCAGCCAATCACAGAAATAGAGATGGTTAATTATTATGAGACTGTAAGCCCCTTCAGGCCAGGGCCTGTTTTTGACCTGAACTTTGAATTATCTTTTTTGCTCTGCATTATGCTCATGGTAGCAGCTTAATACATATTTGTGAAATTGGATTACAGAAGTAGAAGGGAGCATAATAATGAGGGTAGGACAGCCAAGACTGTCACAGGGCACTAACATTAGAGCACTTCAGAATTATTGAGAGGAAGCTTAACATTTAGTTAGTAAAGATGATTATTTAAAAGAAGACATCATATACCCATTTTTAATATCCAACATTTGCTAGCTACTATAGTAACAAGTGTGGGCAGCTAGGTGGTGCAGTCGATAGAACGCTGGGCTGGAGTCAGGATGACCTGAGTTCACATACATACATATATGCACAAGTATATATTTTACTTATAAATATATTAATTATGCTTATGTATAATGTACATATGCACACACAGCTATATATACATGTATAAGCAATGCATACACACATTTTCACCCATTATACACATTTGTATATGTGCATGTGTACATACACACCTATAATATATATATATGTGTGTGTGTGTGTGTGTGTGTGTGTTTTATATATAATGGATATATGCATTTGTAAAAATGTATATTACATATATAAGCATCAGTAAAATATTTAAAAGAAAAATTAAAGGAGAAATAGTATCATGGGAATTAGAAGTCTTGAATTTTACTGATGTCTGGGTCACTAACTCTTCCTGTGACCTTGGATAAGTAAGCCATTTCCTCTCTGTCCTTACTTCAGAGAGGTAGATGCCATCTAATGATATTTCAGCTCTAGACCTATGATTCAATGATTTTAAGGGCTGGCTGATGATGACCTTTGTTTTCTGACTTGTCCCACTTGCAAATAGCTGGAATTCTTCATTTTTTTTTAACAAAGCACAATATATAATAGTTATTTAAAATAAATAATGGAAAGGAATAGTTGAGGGCATCACTGGTATTGGTTGCCAGACAGCTGAGGTTTATGGAAGGAGAATTTGCCAATTTCACTGGGAACTGGGACTTTCATAATCAATGAGGTCAGAGGTGATGCCCATGGATTGGGAAAGGCAAAACAGCTGTATTCTTGGCCAGACGATTTCTTCTTTCATACTATAAGTCTCCTCAAAATATGATTGATCCACGTCAGGCATTATTATCAGGACACCCAGACCCAGATCAGGCTCTTGTGTCTGTTGTGGGATTAGTAGTAAGCCGCTCTTTAAAGAAGGTATAAGCTAGGTCCCCCACCTTCAATCAATCAATCAAGAAGCATTTATATTGAGGTTACTTTGTCCTCTATGACAAAATAACTATAGTTATTAAATCCCTCTGATTTGTTAGGAAGAGCTCAGCTTCATCAGAGGCAAAAGAATTTCTACAATCCATTATATGGAACAAATGAATGACCCACAAGAACAAAATGACCCACAAGAACTCTGCCCCTTATGCCAGAGAGCAAAAATCTTTTCTTCAAATTCTAAAGAAAACATCTCCAGAAAAGCTCTGTTTCCTTTCCCCTTTATGGTTTCCAGAAAGAAAAAAAAAGTATTTGGACCAAAAAACTAGACAGTTTCCTCAACCCACCCAAATCCCCATTTACTGAAGGTGAAACTAACCCAGATGTGAAATTAGCATAGGCCTGGAATGATCAAATTGTTAGTTAGCCCAGAGTGGGTGGAATAGTGCTTATTGCAGGAGCTTTCTTTATTCTTGGATGATTCTGGGGGGATGGGTTCTTTGAATTCATCTAGTACAATCTTTACTCTGGGGCATGAATCCCATAGAATCATGAAATAGGGAAGGGCTATTTTTTTTCCTCCTCGAGGGCTGAAGGTAGGGAATTGCAGCCTCCGTTTAAGGAGTTTCACAGTTTTGGCAAACTCACAATTCTATCATTCCAAGCCTAAGCTAATTTCACCTCTGGCCTATAAATAAGTATTTACTATGTGCCAGGTACCATGCTAGGGACTTTTTCTCTTGAGCAAATACGTACAAATGTTATCTCATTTCATCCTTCCAATAACCCCGTGAGACAAACCCTGCTAACTTCCCAGTGGCTCTGATAGACTCTTTAAGACTCTAAGCTGTACAACTTAGCCTATCAGTATTGGAGAGGGGGACAAGGAAAAGGAACAGGCATTTGTATTGTACCTACTGCGTATCAGGCGCTGTGTCCAACTGCGTCTGTTTGTTTTTAACAGACGCCACATTTGAGCCTCACAACAACTGTGCAAGTAGATGCTTTTATTACCCCCACTTTATAGCTGGGGAAATTGAGATAAACAAAAGTTAAGCGACTTGCCCGGGGCCACCCAGTTAGCAAGTGTCTGAGGCCAGACACTGGGTTCTTTCTGACCCCAGGCCCAATGCCCCATCCACTGAGCCAACAGCTTTCTCCTACCTCCAAGTTGTTGTGAGGACTGAATGAGAGAATATTTGTAAAGTGCTAATATCTACTGCCTTCTTTCTCCCCTTCCCCTTCTTAAAGCACATATGCTCCAGTTTTGTAACTTACAGACTAGGAAGTATATGACTGCCCGATATCATATAACCAGTCGGTACAGGTGTCAGAGTGGGCCTTTGAACCTGTCTCATTGACTTTGAGGTCTGTTTTCTTTCTCCTTACCTCTCATCTATTCCCACCACCTCAAAGTACAGTAAGAATCCCAAGAGGCTGTAAGATATCCATTGCTGTTAATACTGTTAGTCTTGTGTAGATCATGGGTCCTAGAACTACAGTGGTCCTCGAATTCTGTCCCTCACCTCTTTCAATCGATAACATGCAACAACTCTTCAGCATTACCTGTTTGCAGAGCAATGTGCTTATTTCAGAGATGGGGAAATCTATTAGAGATGAGGAAACTGAGGCCTAAAATGATTAAGGTGGTGACAGCACCAGGAGGAGAGAACCTTCATAGGCCACGATGATTCTAAAGAGACTACGGGTATAGAAATCACTTAGAGACCTAGGCTGTGCTTCCATTATGAATGCTTGCTCCCACCTCACTCCCCTCTCCCACTGAATCCCTCCTTTGGTCCTTTTGCAGCTAGAAAGAATGACTAAAACCCCAAACCAGTCCTGAAACATGCTTGCCGATGGAAACAAAGTGAGCTGATATTGAGTATCTGTGACCCATGCCTAAAGGGGAGATGCAAGTGGATTTCTTCAGTACTAAATAAACAATGAAATCAATATATCCTCATAATAGGAAAAAAAGTATAGTTACACCATCCATTCTGTTAAATAGTTTATTGTGAATGCAATAATAACCAAGCACTTACCTAAATTGGTGAGGAAATAAGCCACCTTTTCATAGACCTGCAGTTAAAAGAGAGAACTAACATTAAGATGGAGTAAAATCAGTATTCTACTCACTGGGGGAGAGCCAGATTGTAAGCTGAAAAAAGAAGTGTCTTCAAAACAGATTTTAAACAGCGGGGCCTGAACATTTGTGATCAAAATTACAGAGTAGAAGCTTAAATTGCTAGACTATTCTCTTGACACAATATTTTACAAAATGTATACAGCATGATTCCTGGAAGACTTGAGGTAACATTGAATTTCTAAACCAGAATAGTTTTTAATAGGTAATTTGAAGAGTTGTAAATAAATAAATCAAGAAAGCATTTTCCCACCTTGGTGCTTTTGGCCTTGACGTACATACTATGTACGAGGCACCATGCTAAGCATTTTATAAACATTATTTCATACATTAATAGTTCAATGGACCCTCAGAGAGGGAGCGTTTTCTAGGCTTTCTTCTCCTCCTCATATCTACCTGTTTATATCTTATCCCTCCTTCAATATTCAGCCCAAATTCTCCCTCCTTTATGAAACCTGCCTCCAGTCCTATACCTAGAAGTCATCTCTCCTTTCACCGATCTTAATATTGTGTAGTCTATAATTTTTTAAAAGCAAAACTGAAGGCTTCCAACATGATATGCTATGGGAAGATAAGAGTAAGAGCCACATACACTAAGAAGACATGGATGGATTGACATCTGATCCCTTGAAAGGCATATCAATATTTTGGATCTTTGGGTCCTTGGTCTAAAACTAGAAGGGGCCTTACCTTATTTTACAGGTGAAGAAACTGAGGCCCAATGAAGTTAAATTATTTTCCCAGGTCAATACAGAGAGTAAGTAGCAGAGACAGAACTGGAACTTGGGTTATCTGACCCCAAGGCCAGAGTTATTTCATCTACCACACTGGCTCCATCTGTGAGGGTCCATTGAACTATCGACATATTAAGTAACATTTGTAAAATTCTTAGCACCGGGCTTGGCACATAGCATGCTCTTAATACATGCTGGTCTTTTCCCTTCCTTCCTCCCCTTAGTATATTCTACTAAATTACATTCATCTACGCACATTTCTTATCACCACTACTGAGCAACTGGATCTTTCAAGACAAAGTCAAGGGTCTTAATTCACCTTTGTATGTTCTCAACATAAGAGGCAGGGGGCATGTGATTTTTATTTCCCTACATGTATGTGCCCCCCCAACATCCTCTGAGCAATATTCACTTTTACTTCTTTTGAGATCTAATTTTCTATCACTCACAATCACACAACACCACCAGTAGAATACTGGTACTAAAAACGATGGTCTTCATTTCAGGGAGAAGCCGAGGGTCATTGAGAAAGCTTTGTAATTTTCTAAAGACAATACTATTGTCTTGTTTACAGATCAGACTAATCCACTGGCCAGTCCTTTGACTTGATGAGATACCTTGCCATTTGATAAGAATGTTTTTGAGATTTTCCCATAAATCCTCTATAAAAAATCCACCCACTTTTTTGGAGGGCTTCTTATAGTTCTTTTAAGATCTTAAGTATGCCAAAATAATACTCAAGTGCTCCATTTCATATTTCTTATTTTTGCTAGATGACTGGTTCACTCCGTTCCTGCTCATGTGAATCTTCAATAAAAATCTTTGGTGCTGTTTCTTAAATGCAAGTCAGACATGAGTGAAAAAGCAGTTTCAGATGCTTACTATGTCATGTACAGTACCTAACTCACAGAGTTGTTGTGAAGCTTAAAGGAGGTTGGTTATATAAAGCATTTTGATAACTTTAAAGTGCTAGGCAAATGGCAGTTATTTTAAGAACTGATTTCTTGCCCTGTATAATCTATGGATAATTAACAGCTTCGCTATCAAGTTGACAATCCCTGCCATTCCAATGACATTCAAATTTTAGGGAACATTTATATAAAAAACAGCTAATACAAGTTGTTTTGGGGGGACAAATTATTGTTATTGTTATCATTAGTTTGGTGAGAGATTTCACCTACAAATTAAGGGATAGAGACTAGACCTAAAATTTTAGTAATAGAAAGAATTTTTAGGACAGCTAAGTGATATAGTAGATAGAACTCTGAGCCTGGAGTAAGGAAGACCTGAGTTCAAATTCAATATCAAACACTTACTAACTGTGTGACCCTGAGCAAGTCACCTAACCCTGTTTGCTTCAGTTTCTTCATCTATGAAATGAATTGGAGAAGGAAACGGCAAACCTCTCCAGTATCTTTACCGAGCAAACCCCAAATGCAGTCATGAATAGTCAAATACGGCTGAAATGACTCAACAACAGGAAACTTTTGGGTTAGGCAACTCCTTCCCTCTATCTATGTCTTGCCTTTCTTTTCTCATTACAGTTTTGATTGACACCCCGTGTGCTTACCACAGCACCTGGGACATAGTTAATACTTGCTAAATGCTCACTGCCTTCTTTAGCATGATCTGTCTTACAGAGTTGCCTAGAAGACTGAGATATTAAGTGAACTGTCCATGGTCATAAAATCAGTATGTATCAGAGACAGGACCTGAACCCAGGTTTTCCTGGTTCTTTGTAAACTGGTTTACTGTTTACTGGTACTCTGTAAACAAATGTAAACAAACAAATAAACGATGAGCAAGTATGTATTCTCCACCAACCAGGGCTCCTCTCGCTCATCACATGCATAAATGGTTACATAAGAAAGTCATGATTATTATCTTTTACATCCACATTACGTACCTCACAAAATGATTCCTAAGGCCCCCACCACTCAGGTACGAGCAGGATGTGACTTGGAGTTATTCTCAGAGGAAAGGTCAAGCATAATGCTCATTCCATGATGTATCTACACATCTTGGTCACCCTCAATGCACTCCTATGCCTCCCAGGGCTAACATTCAAGGTTCTAAGGTATGTTCCAGCTTGAATTTTGCTTGTTGTAAGTCTTTATGTACTTTCTAGCCGTGACATTCTATGTCCTAAGGTCTCTCAAAGCTATAATATTCCACATTCTTTGTCCCAATGTTCTTCCAACTCTGCTATTCGATATAGTAAGGTATGTGTCAGTCCTGACATTCTATGCTCCAAGGCCTTTCTGGCTCTAGCATTCTGTTCTATCACTTCTTTTAGCCATGAGATGTTCCTTCCAATTGAAATTCCACATTCTAATGTACCTCTCCAATCTGATATTCTACATCTAAGACCCCTAAATCTCTGACACCCAATGTCCCAAGAGTTCTTTTAAGCTCATGCTCATTCTTTGTGCTCTGGCTCTTTAAAGCTCAATCATTCTTATATTAAATCAACACAAAAGCAAAACACTTAGTGAACCCCACAACTTTAAAGACAGAAGAATTTCATTTCATTTGGCTGCTTTTCATTTCCTTTGAAATGGGACAGTATCCCTTAGATGGATGCAGCTGGGCAGAAGCTTCTACTTGCACTGTATTTTAACATCATTAATGAGCTTTAACATTCAGTTAATTAGCAAAGAGACATGTAAGGGCTGGCAGGAAGGCCACCACCACCAATCTTACAAGAGTGTTGTCCACTTTTTATGAAACTTTAAAAGACATTTTGAAAGCCATTGTCTGATACCTAATAATGCTCTTCACTTTAGAGAGCAGGCTGTGAGGGGACCCCAAGTATGACTACCTTTTTCATAAAGATATTTAGGGGGAGATATAGCATAGCTTAATTACTAATGTGCCCAATATTTATCAAGCAAACCTAGTTCTCTTTTTCTCAAGTGGGCACCAGTCTTAAATGTCAATATAGGTTACAGGGTGGGTATCCTGCAGCCTCGAGGCCACATGTAGCCCTCTAGGTCCTCAAGTGTGGCTCTTTGCCTGAATCCAAACAGGGCTGCACTTGAGGACCTAAAGGGCTACATGTGGTCTCAAGGCTTCAGGTTCCCCACCTCTGGTAGGACTTAGAACTCGCCTCCATCTTAGATTGGCATTGAGTCCAACCCATTTATTTCAGAGAGGAAGAAACTGAGGCACAAAGCAGTCTTAAGTGACTTGCTAAAGATTTTCATTTGAAAAAGGGTATAGTGTCAAATCTTAATCATTTACATATGAGAGCATCTAGATTAAAAAGTCCTGAATCAAAGAGCAAGGGACTCAGAGTTAGACGATCTGAGCTGAAATCTTGGCACTACATTTACATACCTAAGTGACCTTGGGTAAGTCCCTTAACTTCTCTGAGACTTTGTTCTCTGTAAAATGAGGTGTTTGGATTATATGACCTAGATGATCCCTTACAACTTTTAATGCTACTCTCCTAAATGTGTCAATTTTAAGGGACATTGCTTTCACTCTTCTCCTCTATTGAGTCTTTTACTGTAAAAGACAATGGAATCAGTCAAGAGACATTTATTAAGTTCCTACCATGTGTCAGGCACTAGAGAGACAGAGAAAGGCAAAGACAGTCCAGCTTTCAAGGAGCTCACAGTATAATGGGGGAAACAACATGTTAACATCTAGGCATAAACAAGCTAAATATAGGATAAAGTGGAAATAATAAACAGAGGGAAAGCTCTAGGATTAAGGGGATCAGGAAGAGTCCCATAAAAGGCAGAATTTTGTCTGGGACTTGAAAGAGGTCAGGGGAGCAGAGACAGAGAGAGAAAATTCCAGGCATGAGGAATGGCCAGTGAAAATGTCCAGAGCTGGGAAATGGAGTGGCTAATTCAAGAAAGGGCTCAAGGTACAAGAAGACTAAGAAGGAAGGAAGATGTAGATCATGAAGGGCTTTAAGAGCCACAGAGGATTTTATATTGGATCCTAGATTTGATATAGAGCCACTAAAGTTTATTGAGTAGAGAGGGTAACATGGTCTGACCTATACTTTAATTTTTAAAATAAATGAGTGAGGCATTTATGAAGTACTCACTATGTCATAGCATTGTGATTCAAATACTGGAGATATAAACAGAAAAGTAAGACAGTCCTTGCTCTCAGGAAGCTCACATTTTTTACTCCCCCTTTTTAAACATTCATTTTTAGAAAACTTTTGAGTTCCAAATTCTCTC